AATGGGGGCGGCAGCGGGGCCGGACAGAGCGGGGGCGGGGGCAGCGGGCCTTCGGGGACCAGGGACTGCACGGCGAGGGAGGACCGGGGGAAACGGGAAGCGTCCCCTGCGGGGTGGGGTGGGGGGCGCGAAAGCTCTCCCACGGGGCGGGGGCGGCGGCGGGGAAGGAGAACGCGGGTAAGGGCAGAGCTAAGAAGCGGGGACCCCCTCCCGCAGCCGCCATCTTGTCTCCCCCCGGCTCTGGAAGCTGAGGCGCCGAGCCCCGCCCCCGCCCCCTTCTCCGATTGGCCAGGCCAAGGGAGAGTTCCACCCCCTGCGCGCCCCTTGGTCCCCTGGGTCCCTCTGACGGGCAGATGCAGTGGCCAATAGGTTCTCTCCTCTCTTCCCCGCTCGTTCGCTGGCGCTCGCTTTCTCTGTCCGCGGATCGGACTTCGCGGCTGTCGGTCTCTGGCGCGCTCACCCCCTCCTTTTTGGGGAGGAGATGTTATTTCCCTCCTTTCTCTAGCTCCGAGGGGTCAAGATTCTTCTGGAAGAGGTGCCCTCTTAAAGGGGCAGGAGCCTCGGCTGGGGTCCTCCCTTGTGTCATGAGTATTTTGTGTGGGATGCAGGGGGTACAGTCTGTTTGCAGAAACCCCTTATTCCTCAGGAACCCGGGTGCGGTGGGCGAGTGGGTGCACAGGGGGCTGCCGAGAAGACTACTGGGGGTGGTTGGAGATTTTTTTTGAGGTATATATGTGTGAAGGGCTGTGAGGGATGAGAAAATACCGCCAAAAACCCCATCTAGACTGTAAGCGCCTTGAGGGAGAGACCTCATTTTCCTCAGCAGTAGCACTTCTCTCTCCAGGGTTCCCCCCCTCCCCAGTTTCTAGAGGCTTGGGTTGGAAAGAAGAGGTGTCCTCAGGTACTGCTTGGGTGAGAGATAACCTGAGCTGCTGAGGAGGTAGCAGGTGGGGAGGAAGAAAATAGAGTGGCTTTAGTGAAGGGAGGGGCAACACTCTTCTCTGCCTCTAATCTATATACGTTTGGGATTGTGGTAGATTTTCACACCTTGGGTTAGGGTCTCCATGCCCTTGGTGGGGGGTGGGGGAGTGTGGGAGCAGTAAAGTAGGTCTGTTGGCCCCAGGCTGCCCCAGGATCTTGGCATTTGTAAGACATTTGGTGACCAAGGGACTCTGGAACCAAGACAAAATTGCTGTGATGATTCTGTTTCCTTTGACTCCAGCTGGGGTGTGTGCCTGCCTGACACTGTCCCTTGTTCAATTTTTTTTTGTTTTTGGTCTCAGGCACACTTTGGGATCAGAAGGCCTTTTTAGTGAGGGGGTTAATAATGGCTTGTTAGCAAATAGCAATCCTTAAGAGGTAGGTTTTATTATCCTCATTTCACTAAGAAAGTATGGAGGCACAAAGGGATGAAAAGACTCTCCAAGTCAAATAGGCCAAGATTAGAACCTAGATTGCCCCAAGACCTCTTTTTGTACCAGACCATGGCCATCTCTGTGGTGTTCTTATGTCTTAGTGAGATAAATTGAGCAGATTAGAAGATCTGGGTTTGAATTGTAGTTTTATCACTTACTATCCTTGAATTGGAGCCCTGGTGGCACAGTGGTTAAGCACTTGGCTGCTAACTGAAAGATTGGTGGTTCAAACCCACCAGCTGATCCTGTGGGAGAAAAGACCTGGCAATCTGCTCCTGTAAACATTATAGCCTAGGAAACTCTATGGGTCAGTTCTGCTGTGTCCTGTAGGGTCACTATGAGTTGGAATTGACTCAACAGCATGCAACAACAAACAACAGCCTTGGGTTGAGTGAATCCTTTCTGAGGTGGTTTTCTTCACTTGTAAAATGGAGAGGATAATAACTTACTAACTCCAAAGCTGGTTAGGAAAGGACTTTGTAGTGTATAAAAGTATGCTAAATTATCACCAAAGTGATGAACTCTCTGTTTTTCTCCTTGAAATCTCCTCCCTGTTCATACCCTTCCAAGTCTCTTCCTGTACCTTGGGGCACCATATCCTCAAAGATCTTTCCTGGTAGTGATGGCGGCAGTAACTGCGTACCACGAGTCTTATGAACTCCCACAGAGAATGATGTGGGAAACTTGAGGGCTTTCCCTTTGCTGCACAAGGGTAGACTAGATGTATGTATTTTAGCAGGGAGGGACTTTTGAGGTCACAGAATGCATTGAGACTTACCTCAGATACTGTCCTGATCACCTTGACCTTGGGTCCAGTGAGGGTCCCATACCGACCATTTACAACTTCAGACATCTCTTGAGTCCACTCCCAGAGCTTCCAGGGTTTCTGTTTGGAAATACAGTAGCCAGCGCATCCTGGATGCTCCTTTTGCAAGGAAAACTCTGCATGTTGTAGCTTGAAGCCCTTAGACCACATATGATAGGTATCTCAGAGATGACCCCTTTACCCCAGGTGTGGTCAAGGGATAGGGTTTCTGATGGGATTGGGGGAAAGCTCTAGGCCATTGAGTGTGACGGAGGTATGACATAGTACGACAGAAATTCATCCTCTGATGGGAGCTGCTGTTCATATACAAAGCTAGAGAGTGGATGTTATCCTTGTGTTCTTTCTTTCTGAAGCCTTAACCACCCTTCCCTTTCCATAGTTAATTGTTCCACAGCCTTATGTACATCGTTGTTGTTCTAAGCTGCCATTGTGTCAGCCCCTGACTCATGGCGACCCTATGCACAATGGGGTCGGACCTAGTGGTCCAGAGGTTTTCATTGGCTGACTTTCAGAAGTAGATCACCTGACCTTTTTTCATAGTCCATCTTAGTGGAGAAGCTCCGCTGAAACCTGTTCAGCATCATAGCAACACACAGGCCTCCACTGACACACAAGTGGTAGCTGCACTTGAAGTGCATTAGCTGGAAATTAAAGCCGGGTCTCCCACACAGAAGGCAAGAATTATACCACTGAACCACTCCTGCCCTCCATGTACGTCATTAGAACATTAGATTTCTCCCTGTCACACTGTAATCTGTTTATATCTCTTTCCCTTCAGTCAGATAGCTCTCAGATGGAGAGGGCAGGGATCATGTGGAAGGCAGCTATGCTAACCACTTTGCCACCAGTGCCGGCAGGGATCATGTGTGTTTGATTTCTCTTGCCATTCAACAAATACTTACTGAGCCAGACACCATTCCAGGCAGTTGGGATACAGCAGTAAACAAGACAGGCAAACATCCCTGCTCTCATGGAGCTTACACTCTAGTGGAAGGAAGCAAACAATAAACACAATAAATAGGCAAATTACATAGTTCGACAGAAATTGGTGCTATAGGCAGAAATAAAGCAGGATGAAAGGTGGGTTGCTAGTGGGAGGTAGGGATTTCAAATTTTAAGTAGAGTAGTTAGAGAAAGTATGACAGAAATGATGTTTATGGAAAGACTTGAAGGAGGTGAATGAACAAGCCACGTGGATTCTGCAGGGCAGATTGTTCGGACAGGGAAACAGCTGGTCCTCTTGGTGTCCATTCGATCATATGGAAGGGTGAATGGGTAAGTGTATGCATGAACATCCAGCTCATGGTCTCCTGGCCTTCTCTCCTTAGGCCTGTTCACTTGGTTCCCAGGTACCATGAGGAAACCGCGCAAGAAGTCGCGGCAGAATGCCGAGGGCCGGCGCTCCCCGTCACCCTACAGTCTCAAGTGCTCACCCACCCGTGAGACCCTGACATATGCCCAGGCCCAGCGGATTGTCGAGGTGGACATTGATGGACGCCTGCATCGCATCAGCATCTATGACCCGCTTAAGATCATCACAGAGGATGAACTGACTGCTCAGGATATCACCGAATGTAACAGTAATAAGGAAAATAGTGAGCAGCCCCAGTTCCCTGGCAAGTCCAAGAAACCCTCATCCAAAGGCAAGAAGAAGGAGTCCTGCTCTAAGCATGCATCCGGCACCTCCTTCAACCTCCCACAGCCCAGCTTCCGCATGGTGGACTCAGCCAGCCAGCCAGAAGCACCTCCTTTGCCCGCAGCCTACTACCGCTACATTGAGAAGCCACCTGAAGACCTGGATGCAGAGGTAGAGTACGACATGGATGAGGAAGACCTTGCCTGGCTGGATATGGTAAATGAGAAGCGGCGAGTGGATGGGCACAGTTTGGTGTCAGCAGACACCTTCGAGCTGCTAGTGGACCGACTTGAGAAAGAGTCATACCTGGAGAGTCGCAGCAGTGGGGCCCAGCAGTCACTCATTGATGAAGACGCCTTCTGTTGCGTGTGCCTGGATGATGAATGCCATAATAGCAATGTCATTCTCTTCTGTGACATCTGCAACCTGGCTGTACACCAGGAGTGCTACGGTGTTCCCTACATCCCTGAGGGCCAGTGGCTCTGCCGCTGCTGCCTGCAGTCTCCCTCCCGGCCTGTGGATTGCGTCCTCTGCCCCAATAAGGGTGGTGCCTTCAAACAGACGAGCGACGGGCACTGGGCCCATGTGGTGTGCGCCATCTGGATCCCTGAAGTCTGCTTCGCTAACACCGTGTTCCTGGAGCCTATCGAGGGCATTGACAACATCCCACCTGCCCGCTGGAAACTAACCTGCTATATCTGCAAGCAGAAGGGACTGGGTGCAGCCATCCAGTGCCATAAGGTGAACTGCTACACGGCCTTTCATGTGACGTGTGCACAGCGGGCTGGGCTCTTCATGAAGATTGAGCCCATGCGGGAGACCAGCCTCAATGGCACCATCTTCACAGTGCGCAAGACGGCCTACTGTGAGGCCCACTCACCACCACGTGCCACCACTGCCAGGAGAAAGGATGACTGCCCTGGTGGCCTTAGTGAAGCTGGAGATGAAGAAGGACTAAAGGAGGGTGGTGGGGAAGAGGAAGAAGATGAGAAAGAAGTGAAGGAGGAGGAGGAGGAAGGCCAAGGTGGGATGGGTGGCCCTCTTAAGGGAGTGCCCAAGAAGAACAAGATGAGTTTGAAACAAAAGATCAAGAAAGAACCAGAGGAAGTGGGCCTGGACACACCCTCCACTGTCCCAATGGTCACTATACCACAGATCCCCTCCTACAGGTGAGCCTGCCCAGAAGGGCTCCCCAAGGACTGATGGCTTCTCTGGCTGGCATTAGCCCTGGGCTAAACTTCCTCCCCCAGGCATGGTTGGTGGACATCTGTTCTCTTCTGTGCTCCCAGATTTGAACTTCTTTAGACCCTGGGCTAGCCTGGCCCAGTTTGTGGTTTTGATTGTGCCCTCGGAGTAATATATTTTCTTTGATTTAAGGTGAAATAAAACACTTTGGTTGCTCAGAAACCCAGGTTACAGGATATCTAAGGTAGTATTTTTCAACAGGGGCACTAGTGGCATTTTGGACAGGATAATTCTTCATTGTTAGGGACTGTGCCATGCATTGCTAGATGTTTAGCATTCCTGATCATTGCTGTAAATGCCAGTTGCATCCCCTTCCCCATTTCCGAGTCTTTGTGACAACCTCAAACACTCTCCACACATTTTTCCAAAAACCCCTAGAGTGAAACTACTCCAAATTGACAACCACTGTTTCACAGGGTCAGTGTGGGTATCTGCTGTCCAGAAAGCTCTGTCTTGGGTATGATGAGGATTTTCTGGGGTATGGGGAGGGAGTAGGGCATGCTGTTTCTCTTTTTGAGAAGCTTGAGGATCACTCCTTAGCTGTGTAATTAAGCCACCTGGGCCCCCACTGAGACCACTGTACATGGGTTAAACCATCAGATAGGTAACTGGAGCTATTGGAAGGACTGGAGCTTGGAAGAGAGGCAAGAGACAGAAGATTTCCCAGGGGAGGCTCATCTTAAGGGTGATGATGCTCATAAAAAAATTACATGGTGTTAGAGCAGGAAGGAATCTTAGTGATTATTCATCTAATGTAGTCCTTGCACCTTCTCCCACACCCCCAGATGAAGAAACTGCGGCCACGGGAGGTAAAGTTATTCACTCCTTTATTCATTCAATGAGATGTTTATTGAGCACTTACTATATGTCAAGTCCTGTTCTAAAGGCTGAGACCAGGTAGAAAGAGACAGACCCTGGACTACAATCTCGGGTTCATGAGGCTTTGCGTTCTGTTTCTGCTGTCTTTCTCTCTTGGTGAGAGAGGTAGGGAGAAGGAGTACTGGAGGGTAGTGGGGAATGAGTTGTGTGAGGGGAATAGGCAACCAGACTTGCTAGGCTGGAGAGAAGGCACAAGAGTGGAGAAGATCCATGGAACAAGTTAGAATTTTGGCAACTTGGAATTTGTCTTCTAGTCACAGGACTGTTGTAGGCTATCCTCTTTCCTGAGGAGGATGGGCTGATGCTTAGTATGGTGGTTGTGCCCAGTGGCCAGGCCTTTTGGTTGAGGTGTCTGCTCTTCTAGATGCTTCTCACAGGAGCCAGCATAGCGTGCTGGCTAAGAGCCAGACAGACCTGGGCTTGAATCCTGTTTCTATTTCTTATTACCTGTACACCTTTGACAACTTACTTAACGTCTCTGAGTCTTCGTTTGTTTGTAAATGAACATACCACATAGGGCTATTGTAAGAAATAGATGACATAAGTAAAGCACTTAGCACAGTGCCTGGCAAATAGTAAGCGCTCAATAAATGGTGACTACTGCTGCTGCTGCTATTTTACTATTATTCTTTTCCCTACCTGCACAAATGCTGTTGGGGCCCTTCATGGCCAAGAGGTTGTAGAGGGTGGGGGCTGCCTGCATCTGTACAGGTGTGCTTGGCATGGACGTTGGTGGGGAATCTGTCCTTTGGGAAAGGGCCTAGGCCTTGATTTTGTAAGCTTGGCTTTGGGGCAGAAATGTCTTGACTGTGGAGAGGAGCAAGGCCTGGGGGATCAACATCTAGCCCAACATGCCCATCCTTCTTAGGCTTTACTTTCTTGGTTAGCCATGCTTATCTTCCTTTCAGCAGAGTAAGATGAAGTGAAAAGGTGGAGGGAATATGACAGGAGTACTGAAGCTTTATTTACCCTGTGGATAACCATGTTTGGGATACAACATGGTATAGTAGAGAAATCCTGGATTCACATCCTACTCATGCCACTATCTTTATTACCTGCAGTAGTTACTCTGACACTATTTTCAGCCTCTGTTCCCAGGCTACCTTTCCATCTTTTGTAATTTGGGAATAATGTGCCCACCTTGCAGTATGGGTGTTAGGGTAGAGATATTAAGTTTTCATTAATTTCCTTCCTACGCCTTTCTCTTCCCCCAGGTGTTACTGCTTAAACCCTGACCTTAAGATGTAGACTTCTCTTTTAGGGTGCTTTAGCAAGCCACATTTTCAGATTCTTCCTCTTACATCTTCAAATCCAATTTTTTTTTCATTTGGTTCAATCACAGGCTGCTGAGATTTTTTATGGGAAAACCAGTGGTCAGACAAGTCCAAGGGGTTGCATTTGAGCTCAGAAAACAGTAGCCTAATACACTCCCACTGACTTTCCTTCCAGCCTGATTGTGAACTACCCCGTGGTCTGGTGGCACCCTTAGCCATAGGGATCAGGAAATAGTGACCACATTGCCCATAGCTTACTCAAGTTCCTGTTCCCTTTGGCTGCCTTTTTCAAGAAGCAGGTGGGGAGTGGGGGGGACACTGGGGCACAGGCCTATTTCTTAACCAGTGCCTGCAACTGAGGATTCAAGGGCCATAGGAAATGGGGTTTCTGGGAGGGGTTCTTTTTGGAGGTTCAGGACGCAGGGCAGGAAGTGGAAAAGCGAGTGAAATACCTCATGCTGAATCTGAGCTGCTTAACCTTGCTGTCCTTTCCAAGCCTTTCTCTGAGGTGAGGCAATTGGTCACTTTATTCTTTCCTCCTCTGTATGGTTCAGAAATGCACCAGGGTCTGGATAGGATGCATGGGCTCTAATCTGGGCTGCACACTGACCCTTTCTTTCACTTCCTGTGCCTCTACTCAAGGTTGAACAAGATCTGTAGTGGTCTCTCCTTTCAGAGGAAAAACCAGTTCATGCAGCGGCTTCACAACTACTGGCTGTTGAAGCGGCAGGCACGGAATGGTGTCCCCCTCATCCGGCGCCTGCACTCCCACCTGCAGTCGCAAAGGAACGCTGAGCAGGTAGGTAAAGTGGTGATGTGAGGGCTGGGAAGGGAGATGTAGAATGAAGGAGAAGGGGAGATGGTTGGGGCGTGGGTGGCATACCTCCCTGAGTCCTCCAAGGAGCCTTTGCCTGTAGGGATCAGCCCTCTGGGTGGTCTACCCCAGGAATGACCTCCAGCACTGTAGATTGCCTGTTGGTGCCGAGGCGGCCGAGGGGCCCTTCAGAGACCTTTCACAGTAGACGTCCTTCTGGATGAGAAAGGCACAACTTTGGAGCAAATTCTAGGGAGAGTGACAGGCAAGCCCAACTTTCCACATATGTTGGGGCAAAGAGAAATCTTCTAGATGTGGCAGAAAGAGAGAAGAGGTGGGCTGAATGAGAGCCAGGGCTGTCATTGTGTGAATTAGAAAAAGACACCCTTTCCTCAAGATATTATACGGCCACCTGCCAGAAAATGTTTCATAGTAACTATGTAAATTTACAATCTAAGTTGTAGTGTACCGCCTGCACAATTGTGGTAGCCTTGTGGGGAGCTGAGAAGGACGTACGTCCAGCCCTTAGCAACTAGAGTTGCTGAATGTTTGGTGTTTTCCAAAATGGTAGAGGCCTGCTGAGGGACTTTTATTTCCCTTCAATTTTTAACATCTTCAGTTCTCTCTCCCTCTTCTCTTGCTCTGTTACTTCCGTCTTTAAACATTGCCAACACCACTGCTCCAGAGTTGAAGCAAGCCTTTATTTGACTCTGATAACCTTGGAGATGTGTCTGATTTCACTTTTACCTTTTGTAACTAACCTCCTGAAGCCAGTGTCTATATTCGGTCCTTCCATGAACCTTTTTGTCCCCCTGCTCCTTCGAAGCCACCACTAGAACATCATCGACCTCCTCCCAGCCTAGCAAGTCTTTCCCCAGATTCTCACCTTATTGGCTCTTGGGCTGCATTTGACACCATGGATCACCTTGTCTAAGAGCTTTTCTGTGACACTATTTTCTTTTTTTTTCTTAATATTGTTTTTTTTTTTATTGTTCTTCAGGTGAAGGTTTACAGAACAAATAGTTTCTCATGAAACAGTAGTACACATATTGTTTTATGACATTGGTTAACAACCCCACGACATGTCAACCCTCTCCCTTCTTGACCTTTTTTTTTCTTTTGGTGAAAATATACATAGCCAATGATACACCATTTCAAAAATTTCTACATGCACAGTTCAGTGACATCGACTACACTCTTCCAGTTGTGCTGCTATTCTCACTTTAGATGAAGGTTTATAGAACAAAATAGTTTTTTCTCATTAAACAGTTAGTACACATGTTGCCCTCTGGCAATGGTTAACAACCTCACAACACATCAACACTACCCTTACTCAACCTAGGGTTCCCTATCACCAGCTTTGCTATCCCCTTCTGCCTTCTAGCCCTTGTCCCTGGACTGCTGTGCCTCATTAGTCCCATTGGTTTTATGGGGCTGTGTGACACTATTTTCTACTCTTCTACTCCACTGACTGTACCATGTGCTGACCCCACTCCTTAACAGTTGACATTCCCAGTAGTCCTGCTGCCTGCCCATTTGCTTGGGGAGCTCGTCCACTCTCATAGTTTTAAATAAGTGTGTAGCAGCAGCCCCAGGTTTTATGTCCTCACCCCGTTTTCTGCCCTCAATCTCTCTGGGACACTTCCACTGGATGTTGTAATGCAAAAACACTGGAAATGGAGTTCGCTATCTTCTTACTGTCAATAAACTTACTTCCCCATTATTGTCACGGAACGTTCTCCCTCCTGAGCTCATATATTCCCCACTTTGGAGGTACTTCTGATTTTTTCCCCCCATAATGGGCCACAGTTAATTATCCCCTAAGCTGTTTTGGGGGATTTGTCAATATATGGCTGTGTATTTCTGAAAACTCTATGGAGTATAGTTCTGCTCTATACATGATACACATGGGGTCGTCATGAATTGGAATCGACTCAGCAGCAACGGGTTTGGTTTTTTGGTTTTATTTCCATTCAACAGCCACCCTGTTCTACCCATGTCCCGTTGATTTTAGCAGTAGTTCTCTAGGTGGTCTCTAGTCTCTAATTCTTTTCTTTGCCATAGTCTCACTCACACACCATTTCCCACCATGCTACTTGCATTTCCAGAATATACTCCCCCTCTCCAGGCAGGCCAAGTCTAGGCTCTTTTCCCTGTCGTTTGAGGTTTCTTGTCAGCTGGATCCTGGACTGACCTTCTTTGGCTTTTGTGGTTTCCTAGCCTCTCTGGCCAGTGATTTTGCTCACCAAGCAAAGAATCACCAACTCTGCCTCCATGCCTCTGCCCATGTGGTCTCATCTGTTCCAGAAGAGGCCTTCGTTACTGCTTCGCCCATCCCTTTACCTTACTGTGAAGCCGGAGCAAGATTTCTCCCACTGAAATGCTTCCCTGGCCTAACCCTACCCATTCAGATTTTCTGTTTTATATCTCCTCAACAATTTTTGTTGTCTACATGCTAATATGCCCTTGTGCTTCAAAACCTGTTCTCCTCCTTCCGCTAAATACACCATAACCTCTACCAGGACAGGAATCAAACTTTTTGCAGTTGTTTTACCAAAGTACTCTCGAGCCACTTAGTACAAGCTTACAGTAAGAACCACATTTTGTTTTCATAGCCCTAGGATGGAATTCCTCCCACCCTTGAGGTGTCTATTAGTTTTCTTCTGAAATTCTTACTAGGCCTGATGGGCACAGCTGCTGTGTGGTGTCCCAAGGGGTGGGGGAAGCAGTCCCAGTTCTCATTCCAGCCATGGTTATCATGGGGCAATGAAGAAACATTGTCATAAGGCCAGGGAAGCGCAACAGCAAGACACCCAGGTGGAGACGGGGTGGATAGGCTCTCTGGGAAGGTGGGCAGTCGAGGAAGGGGACGGGGCTCTTACCTGCCAAGGCCCCCGTGAGGCTTGGACAGGAAGGAGGCCCCCAGCTCCTCCTCCCCTGGCTCTCCTGCAGCGAGAGCAGGATGAGAAGACAAGTGCAGTGAAGGAGGAGCTGAAATACTGGCAGAAGCTCCGGCACGACTTGGAGCGGGCACGGCTGCTGATTGAGCTAATTCGGAAGAGAGAGAAACTCAAGCGGGAGCAGGTAAGGAGAACCCCCAGCCCCGGGGCTCTTGTTCAAGGCCTCTTTCTCCCATTGTCCGTGTGGCATGGGGAGAGCCAGGATCCCCTGCCAGGTCTACTCTGACACACATGGGGTCATCATGAATTGGAATCAACTCAGTGGCAGTGGCTTTGGGTTTTTTTGGTTTTGTTTCTGTTCTACAGCTTCCCTGCTCACCCATGTCGATAAGTTTCCGTCTGAAATTCTTCCAGAATTTCTCAGTAGGCCCTTAAACAATTAGGGTCTTGAGTAATTTAAAAATTTCTACCATCTGTTCAGGGAGATTCTAAGTCCCTGAGGGTAGGAAATGTTGTGATAGTTTAACATAGGGGCTAGGAGCATGGGCTGTTACACCAGACTGCCTAGGTTTAAATCCTGGCTCTGCCACTTACTACAAGTGTGACATGGAACAGGTTACTTAATCTCTTTATATCCCAGTTTCCTTGTCTATAAAATGAGGACAATAATAGAACCCACATCATGGGGTTGTTGTAGGATTAGATGATTTTGTATATGTAAAGAGCTTAGAATAATCCCCCACGCATTGTAGGGGCTATGTAAGTGTTAGCTACTATTATTATCATCACCATCATCATTGATACTCTGCCTCCTTGAAGTGTCTACCTCAGTGCTCTGCGCATGGCAGAGAGCAAATACTATTAATTGAATGGATGACAAACCAAACCTGTTCATTCTGGTCCAGGAATAGCAGCTGTTACTCCCATGCTTCAGAAACCTGGTTAACAGTGTTCCTTTTTCTCTTTCTCCAAACTCCACTTTGCTTGTTCAGCCCCAGCATGAGCCCTTCTCTAGCAGGCTCATAGCCTGAGTTTCCACCTCTGAGCCTGGACAGCTCTTATGATAGTTTGTGTGGGTGGCCATAGAGGACTTCTTAGGACCTTCTCCATAGGTTCAGACTGTGTGCCCTCCCAGGTCTGGCCCCACAGCTGAGCCTCTCTTCTGCCTGTGGTTCAGGGAAATGGGAGGGAGAAGGAAGCCATGATCCTCGGAAGCAGGCAGGCCTGTTTTGATGTAGCCGAGGCAGAAACTTTTCGTGGTCCAGTTCATGGCTTCTCAACCATTTCACATTAGGGCCCACATAGAAAATAATATTTGTATAGCATGCCACCCGAGGTGGTAAGCCTAGAGGCTCTAGTCACCCCAGGCTGAGCCAGATGCCCCAAAGGCCGATGGGATCAAGATCGCAACACACTGGGTGGGAAATTGTAGTCCAAGGCACATTGTATATCATCAGTGTGCTCTTTGGAGTCAGTCACATCTGGGTTCAAATTGTGACTCTGTTCTTTTCTAGCTAAGTGACCTTGGGCTAGTGACTCCTTATCATAATCTCTAAACCTCACAGTCCTTATCTGTAAAATGGGGATCATAAGAGTTTCTCCTTCAAGGTTATTGTGATGATTAACTGAAGTAATGTAAAGTAAGGAGGCATTAGAGCATAGTGGTCAACAGCACACACTGTGGAACCAGACTTGTCTGGGACTGAATCCCAACCCTGCCTCTTATTAGCTGTGTGGCCTTGGGCCAGTTACTTAGTCTCTTTGTGCCTCAGTTTTCTCTTTGTCAATACCTTATCTCTACCTAGCTCATAGTTGTTGTGAGGATCATTTTAGTTAATAATACATAAAACACTTAGAACATACCTGTCAGTAAGGACCATAAAAGTGCTAATAATAATAATTACTATATAATAATAATAATAAAACAAAACAATAACAATTATTATCGTTACTGCAAGTTTTGGTATGGTGCTTAATACATAGGAAACATCCACAAAATTGTAGCTGTGGGTATTATTATTCCTAGGCCAGGGGCTGGGTGATAGAATAGCTCCTCGCATCCTGGTCAGCTTAATATCCTGAGAAAATTTGTTGTACATGATGGGTGAAAGTTAAGTTATCAAGAAAAAGTTTCAGTGCCTCTTTGCAGGGGTATCCTGATCCCTCCCCACCTCGCTCCATAGGTTAAGGTTCAGCAGGCTGCCATGGAGCTGGAACTGATGCCATTCAATGTCCTGCTGAGGACAACGCTGGACCTGCTGCAGGAGAAGGATCCCGCACACATCTTTGCGGAACCAGTCAACCTGAGTGAGGCAAGTTCCTCCCCACTCCCTGAGCAGTGAACCCCTTCTGAACTGGAAGCAGGTTCTGAGTAGGCCAGGAGGGGGTTGAGCCACAGAATGTACACACCTGGGGGGTCTGGCAAGGCTAGGAGACCCTTGGTGAGGGGTTAATGCCCCAGGGAGCATGCTAGGGTGGGCCAGGCCCCTGGGGCTTTGAGTAGACCTGATGTGACTAAAGCAGAAAACGGGGAGGCCAAGAGTGCCGGTGAAGGGTACGCCCTGTTTGGCTAGTAAATGGTTGTTGTAATTGTACAGGTTTTATATGTTTAGGTTCCAGATTACCTGGAATTCATATCCAAGCCAATGGATTTTTCTACTATGAGGCGGAAGCTGGAGTCCCACCTGTACCGCACCTTGGAGGAGTTTGAGGAGGACTTTAACCTTATAGTTACCAACTGCATGAAGTATAATGCTAAAGACACAATTTTCCACCGAGCAGCTGTCCGCCTGCGGGACCTAGGAGGGGCCATCCTGCGGCACGCCCGGCGGCAGGCGGAGAACATCGGCTATGACCCCGAAAGGGGCACCCATCTGCCCGAGTCACCCAAATTGGAGGACTTTTACCGCTTCTCCTGGGAAGACGGTGAGAAGCCTGGATGGGTGGGGTGGAGATGGGCCAGGAGGAGGCACAGGCACAGAGCCCACAGAGCCGGGGATCAGGGCGGGCCTTAGGACTATTGGGCAGACTCCAGTAGCAAAGCTGGGGTACACTTGCTTGTGGCTAGAATAGTTTCAAGAGTTAAAGGTTAACTAATGCATTTAGTATTTGTTGAATGGTAGGGAAGGGGAATCAGGTGCTAATCTGTTTGAAACGGAGCTTTGAGCTGGTTTGTTCTGGTTCAAACCCCTGCTGAGAATTTGCCTTTCCAGCCCAGATATAAGGAGCCCTGGTGGCGTAGTGGTTAAAGTGATCAACTGCTAACCAAAAGGTTGGCGATTTGAAACCACCAGTGGCTCTACAGGAAAAAGATGTGGCAGTCTGCTTCCGTAGAGATTTACAGCCTCAGAAACCCTAAGGGGTGGCTATGAGTCGGAATCGACTCGATGGCAGTGGGTTTGGTATCCCAGATATACTGAATCAGAATCTACATTTTAACAAGATCCCCCAGGTGATTCTTACGTAGAAGCAATTCTGAGAACCACAGCTCTACTAGTGGTTCACAGAATTGGTCCCTAACCCGCAGCATTAGCATGGCCTGGGAACTTGTTAGAAATGCAAATTCTCAGCAGGGCTTTGAACCAGAACAAACCCGGTTCAAAGCCCTGGTTTGAAAAAGCTTCACCTGGGATCTTCCTCTCCCAAACCCCCTCTGTGTGGCTTGGAGCATGGGGCTGGGGGTTGCTATGCTGGTGTGTGTCTGGCTCATTCAGAAGAGTACAGGTCAAGGACCAGAAAAATGCAATTGCCTCTGAGCCTGATGCTGTGTCTGCCCCTGCTCTCTGCTTCTCAGTGGCAGCAGCTAAACAGTCACTCAGGCCGGGGGATTGCCAAACCACCTCATGCCTGCTCCACAGAGCCCGTAATTGTGACTGTGAACTGCTTCCTGCAGATGTTTCCCAGATTCTGACCTTGTCCCTGTGGTTGCCCTCCGGGCAGCAGTGTTACCAGGGCCAGGATCCCACAGTGACGCTACTGGAAGCCGCTGGCCCAGGCATTCCAGGAGAATGTTTTGCATCCGGAGGATTCGACCCCTTCCCCTTGCCCTGGGCTGGGCGGGTCCTTCAGCCCCTTCTGTCCTCCCTTCTCCCTGGCAGTGGACAACATCCTTATCCCAGAGAACCGGGCCCATTTGTCCTCGGAGGTGCAGCTGAAGGAGCTGCTGGAGAAACTGGACCTGGTGAGCGCCATGCGGTCCAGCGGGGCCCGGACGCGCCGTGTCCGCCTGCTGCATCGGGAAATCAACGCCCTTCGGCAGAAGCTGGCACAGCCACCACCACCGCTGCCGTCATTGAACAAGACTGTGCCCAATGGGGAGCTGTCGGCAGGGCCGCGGGGCGAGGCTGCCATGCTGGAGCAGGCCCTGCAGGAGGAGCCAGAAGACGATGGGGACAGAGGTGAGAGAGAGTCACAAGCAGGCAGGTTCTGGGAGGAGTAAGAGGTTAAGGGCCAGCCTGAATCCAAGCAAGTGGGAGCATCCTTCCACCACTTTAGGTTCTGACCCTTTTGGGGAAGCAGAAGCCCTTGGGAGGGGTCATACTTCTCTGTATACCCAGGGATGATATTCAAAATATTTAACAATCAGTAGAGACTTAACATTTATCAGTCAGAATAGACATTGGCTGTTGTATTGGAGGAATCCCTGAGTGGTGCAAATGGTTAACACGCTTGACTGCTAACCAAAAGGTTGGGGGTTTGAGTCTACCCAGAAGTGCCTTGAAAGAAAGCCCTGGCAATCCAGTTCCCAAAAGTCAGCCATTGAAAACTCTATGGTACACATTTCTACTCTGATACACATGGGGTCGCCATAAGTCAGAGTCGACTCCATGGCAACTTGTTTTGGTTGTATTGGAGTGGGCTCCTGAGGGTTCCTGATGTGAATGTTTAGTTGCTGGATTATGGGGATGTTCAAGGAGTCTCAGGTGCTGGGGGCCAGCACTGTTTACTAACCAGTAAAGAATTTATTTCAATATTTTGCACTTGTTATGGCGATAGTGTGCATATCATTTAAATATCAGCTCACTTTATAGCATCATGTGGAAAGGCTCTCAGAGCAGGTTATGGGGGGTGTAGGGGGATAGCAGAGAAGGTGGTCTGGGCTCTTGAGCTACTTCATAGTTTTGACTCCAGCTGCCTCAGCCTGCGGGCTCATTCCAAGCAGAAAGACCAGACTGCAAAAGACAGCTGGGGAAGTGATTCTGTCAGGGACCCAGGGGCCTTATGAACTGAGCTGCTTCCAGTTTTTCCCCACTCATAGAGGGCAGAATTGTCTTTCTCATACTTGCCCTTGGGTCTGAGCCTGTGGCTTAGGAGGGCCTGTCATCTCCACAGTCCGAAAGGTTGGGAGTCATCTCCAGAGGGTTCAGGTCCAAATAGCCCATTTATTTCTGGTTGAAAGAGAAAGAGGAAATAGTTCAGAGGTTGCACTTGGCATTGGAGGACTTTGTGTCCATTGTGATCCTCTCGGCCTCCCATGTGGCAGTCAGCCATACCACCCAGCTCTCCACACCTAGACCCTGGCAGGGCAGAGTCATACTCAGTGGACCGGCTGCAACAGCATCATCCAGAGGGTTTTTAAAAAAAATTCTAGGCCTCACCTCCCAGATATTCAGACTGAGGAGGTCTGGGCTGTGGTTTGGAAACCTCTGTTACTGCAAGTTCCAAGGTGGTGGGCAAGCGAACATGTCTGGGAACGACTGTTTTAGTTTACTTGGCCTCAGTTTTCCACTTCTGTAAACTTATGTTTCTACCTTCCCCACGTGGTCTCACTTGGATGATATGAGACAAAATAGATTGACAAATGAAAAAACTCATGAGTCTAATGAGAATTGCAGACCCGGAATCTGCCAGGCTGAGACTGAGCTAAGTATCGATTAAGCAGGTGCCTTTCTTGGATGTAGAGCAATGGTTTGCAACCTCTATGCATCAGACTCATCTGGACAGCTTTTAAAAAAAAAATACCCCTCCCTTCGAGATTTGGTTTCAATCAGTCTGGGATGAGGCGTAGGCACTGGAATTTTTTTAAAGCTTCCTAGGTGATTCTAATAGATAGCCAGAGTTGAGAACTACTAGTGAGGTGAAATTTAGTCCTACTTTCTCTTCAGCTCAGGCCCAAGACCTGGGACATACCTCAAGCCTTATGACAGCACATGCTTTTAGTCCTTGGTTATCAGTGTCAGTATCTGATTTGTAGGGACAGACTCTTTCTAAAATGTTCAAGCAGGTTCTCTTTTTCTCTAACAGATGACTCCAAACTTCCTCCCCCACCAACCCTGGAGCCCACTGGGCCTGCGCCATCCTTGTCTGAGCAGGAATCTCCCCCGGACCCCCCTACTCTGAAACCCATCAATGATAGCAAACCTCCAAGCCGGTTCCTAAAGCCCAGAAAGGTGGAAGAAGATGAACTCTTGGAAAAATCACCTCTGCAGCTAGGGAGTGAGCCCTTACAACGTCTGCTCAGTGACAGTGGCCTCAACAGACTGTCCTTTACAGCCCCTGATGCCCCCGCTGGTGCCCCACTCAGTGGTGTGGGCCGCCGCACATCAGTCCTCTTCAAGAAGGCCAAGAACGGGGTGAAGCTGCAGAGGAGCCCAGACAGGGCCCTGGAGAATGGCGAGGACCATGGTGTGGTGGGCTCTCCTGCCTCTCCTGCCAGCACTGAGGATGAGCGGCATTCCCGGAAGCGGCCACGGAGTAGGAGCTGTAGTGAGAGCGAAGGGGAAAGGTCCCCCCAGCAGGAGGAGGAGACAGGTGACCCCGCCTGCAACTTCTCTTGCTGCTTCTCATCTGCTTTCCTGCTTTGCCTTGCCGATCAGCACCTCCTCCATTGGCCAGCTCTCTTATGGCCCCTGTGGACTCCACTAGTAGCATTGAGGGCCTCCATAGCTCACAGTTGGGCCTAGTGCATGAGTAGCAACCTGGGGAACAGGCTGTGAGCAAGTATTTTCGGAGAGCTAGATTTGTCTCTGGGGCTCTCTTTGGCCCTGTGGGGGATACAAAGCTATGTATGGTAAAATGGTTCCTGTCTTGTTTCAGTTCATTCATCAAATACTTATTGAGCACCTACTATAATATCAGGCACTATTCTAAGCACTGGGGAAAAATCAATGAACAGAACACAAAAATCTCTCTTACGGAGGAGACAGACTAAGCAAATGAGTAAATTATACCCTATGTTAGAAACTATGGAGGAAAATCAAGCAGTGAAGGGGACAGAGAATGCTGGGGTGGGAGAGATTACGGTATCAGATATGGTGGACAGGGAGGCCTTCTGAGGAGGTGACATTTTGAGTAGAGATCCGAAGGAGTTGAAGAAGAGCCATTTGGGTATCTGGGGGAGGAACATTCCAAAAAGATAGACTAGCAAATGCACAGGCCCTGGAAGTGAGAACATCTTCATGTCTGAGGAACAGCGAGGGGACCTATGTGGCTGCAGCCTAGTGAGCCGGGGGTGGCAGGAGATGAGGTCATAGAGGTAGGTATGGGGGCTCCATGTCTTAAAGAGGACTTACTACATGCCCAGCATGAGCTGGTCACGGGGGTATAATAAAATAAGTCAGACTCATCTACACCTCCAGAAGAGTCCACAGTCCAATGAATAGACTAGATGGTCTCCCAAGATGCAAAGCAATCCCAGTGCTGGGCAGTATGTGGCTGTGTGTCAGGTGATGACAGGTAGCTCTGCTGGGGGTGTTTAGGGAATATGAATTGGAGAAGCTGGGAAGGTTTCCTGAGAAGGTGGCACCTAGGCTCGCCCAGAGGGATGGGGAAAGAATGGAAAGGAGTAGGTAGAGTGAAGAACTCTGGCCTGGGTGTGTAAACAGGAGGAGGAAAGACAGTCTTTGTAGGGGACAGTGAGGAGAGGGGCTACCTGGAACCTCAGGAGCCAACAGTGGGTGGGTGAGGTGGGCCTGGATTGGAAAGCCTTGAATGCCAGACAGAGTAGTTTAGTCTTGGTGGGATGGGGAAGCCAGCTTGCTTGGTGGGGAGGGGTCTGCTCTTGGCTTTTGTAACTTGTGTGCCTCTCATGTCCGTTTATGTGGTGGCTTTGGGCTGTTAGGCCAGCACTTGCTTTTCTGTCTTCCTGCGTAACACTGTATTTCCAACAATACCTTCCCTTCCTTCTGGGCCAAGTTTCTTTGTATTAAAACAGTAGGTTGGTACAGAGAGTCAAGAAGAGCTTGAGGCCTGGAGTTGGGCAGAGCTGAATTGAAAGCTCAGTCTTCTTCTCAACTCTGTATCCTGGGGCAAATTAATTAACCTCTCTGAGACTGTCAGTTTCCTTATCTCTGATAGCTAGTGATAGTGATACCACTTTGCAGGGTTCTAAGGATTAGAAATCACTTACATAAAGCATTTGGCATATAGCAGTAAATGGTAGCAGTTACCATTGTTGTCACCCTCTTGGCTGTATCAGGCCCAACCAAACAGCACTAAGGACACCGTGCTAAAAATGAGAAGTTTTGCTGTTGGGAAATAGTCCTAGACATTAGGCCCATCCAACCTGAGGGGACCCACTACTTGGAGGTACTGTGAGAATCTACTCTTGCCCCACTCTCCTAGCTGCCTGGCGCCTAGGAGTTGTTTGTGCAACCTTAGTTGACTCTCACAAAAACAGGATTAATCCTTTACAGATGAGGCATCTGAAGCACAGCTGGCTTCAGTGACTTAAATTGAGGTCATGAATGTTAAAGGCAGAGCCAGGCCAGAGTCTAGGCATCTTGGCTCAGACACCTGCTTTTACAGGTGTGACTTTTACCTCAGGTTTTCTGCATAGCTTCAAACCGGTTCATTCTGGTTTGGCCCCCTGCTGAGAATTTGCATTTCTGATGAGTTCCCAGGAAGTTATACATAAGAATCATCTGGGGGATCTTGTTAAACTGTAGATTCTGATTCAGTACATCAGGGGTGGATATGCAAATTTTCAGCAGGGGGTCAAACTAGAATGAACCAGTTGGAAGCCCTGGTTTTCTGGCCAAGCGTGACCAATGGCTTTGGAAAACACACCGAAAGCAGGTCTGACTCGGAATGTAGTTTGGGTCTCAGTGGTGGACTGGCATTTGAAGCTTGCAGGTAAGACTACTTATATTGTTCCCGGAGCCTTGTCGGCAACTCTACCGTCCCTCCCTTTATTCTCCGCTTAGCTATAAATCAGACCTCTTTCTGCTTATCTCCTTTTCCCTTCCCCACTCCTGCTATTTCCTGAGGCCTCTCCTCTGTAACTCTGGGAGCTCCTAGGAAACGAGGTGACCCTTGACACTCTCAGGCCTGATCTGACTGAGATTGGGGGAGTGGCACTGCTGCTGTGACTTAAGTTCTTGAGTCAAGTGCCTAGCATGTTTCCACACCCTCTTGGCTCAACTATCAGGCTTGTAGGACTCTGGAGTGGTTAGGAATTGGATAAATAGGGAAGAGAGTGGGAACGTTCACTGCAAGATGAGGGTCACGTCCCTGGGCTGACCAGGCAGTCTTCATTTGCCTCTGAAGGGCTCCCTTCTGTAAACAGACCTCCTCCCATTCATACTTCATAGCATCCTCCACAAGTAAGAAGTATTATTTTCAGTATCTTCACCAAAGGGTAAGCCAAGGCTTAAAGAGGAAAAGTGACCTGCCCTGGGTTATAGACTCTATTTTCAGAGCCCAGGTTAGTACCCAGGGAATTCTGACTCCCCATCCCAGGAAGGTCTGGGCTGCTTTAGTTTTGCCGAAAAGTTTCGCCACCTCCTGCTTTAACTAGCCTTGCTAGATATCTGAGGGTGTAGTTGTCACAGAGCCCTTATCCTGCCCCAACCTTTCCTGACTCCATCCCAAAAGAATGAATCTGGCTGTTGCCAGCTGTGTGATAGATAGGGTGTGTGAGTGTTTATCTGAAGAAGCAAGGCGGGTGGGCTCCCTGAGAGGCAGAGGAAACTCCCTGATAATTAAGGCTTGAAATTAGAAGCAGAGCCAGGACCATGTGAGCCAGCCAAGGTAGGGAGGTCTTGGTATTTCCCTTTATAGCCAAATGACAGTAGCCAGAGTTGAGCTATGTTTTCCTTAAAGTGAAACCAGAAGAGTGAAAAGGAAAATGTAGTGTCTGCGCATTGTCCCAGCCAACAGTATTTTCCCCCAAATCAACAAGTCTTTATCATGTTTTCTCCACCACCCAAGACTCAGTTCCGATAGGGGAAGGAGCATCTGTCCTCTGCACCCCTGCCTCCCTGAACTCCCAAAGCAGCTGCTTCACCCTGCAGTATGTGTCCGAGAAGGGGGCTCTCTGCACTCAGGCTCACTCTGTGTGTCCTTGGCAGGCGTGACCAATGGCTTTGGAAAACACACCGAAAGCGGGTCTGACTCGGAATGTAGTTTGGGTCTCAGTGGTGGACTGGCATTTGAAGCTTGCAGGTAAGTCTACTTACATTGTTCCCGGAGCCTTGTCGGCAACTCCACCGTCCCTCCCTTTATTCTCCGCTTAGCTATAAATCAGACCTCTTTCTGCTTATCTCCTTTTCCCTTCCCCACTCCTGCTATTTCCTGAGGCCTCTCCTCTGTAACTCTGGGAGCTCCTAGGAAACGAGGTGACCCTTGACACTCTCAGGCCTGATCTGACTGAGATAGGCGGAGTGGCACTGCCGCTTTATAGGGTTAATGGAGCTGAATTTGGGTTCTAGAGGGTGGGGACAGCTGAACTGCATGTTTCCTGGTGAGATTAACATTTGAGCCAACTCCCCCACACTTCTTCACCCTCTGGTGCATCATAGCAGTGGCCTCTTTAGAGGGGCGATGTGAGGATAAAAAACGAGCACGTAGGAAATTTGGGAGTCCTTATTCCAACAGAGGTCCCCAGCTCTTCTACCACCCTTGAGTTGGGAAGGGGTGAATTTTGTTCTGTGTTTTATTCTTTTACCTGAAGGGAGGATTTCTGAGACCATAGCTTTAATGCTGCTTCCAAGTGCAAGAGTTTATGGAGGCCCCTGCTCTTTGTTCGTGCTCTTCAAGACAGCAGGGAGTGGGAAAATGACTTGTCCTGAAGGCTGACCTCAGGGCCCCTCCACATGGCTGCTGAATGGATCCTGGGTGCAGAGTAGGGGAGGAAGGGTCCCAGGGCAACATCAAGAGACTATATCTGTCTGTGTTTGGAGCATTTCCAAAGGAGGGTGGGCTTTTTGACTGGGGTGTGTGTTAAGTATTTGCTCTACCCAGGCTGGTGGGCTCATGGTGGAACTACAGGAGCCCCTGAGCTACCCTTCAGGCCTGGACTGGCCCCTACTATGGTAGGACCGAGCTTTCAGTAGTTGCTTTGAGATTGTCCTCCCTGCCGCACCTCAGAGTTGCCCTAACTTTTCTTCCTCCCTGTCATGGCCTCCAGAGCTATAGGAGTAGTGGGTGGGAAAGAAAACAGTTACCAGCCTGGTCTCAGGTTCCTGACTCCCTTCAAACATACGGTGCCTGGAAGCCCAGCTCACTGGGGGTGGGGCAGGGTGGGGTTATCAAACTGTCCCTTCCTAGGCCTTGACTAAAGGAGGAGGGTGTGTTGGTCCCTCCCTCCATGAAGGCCACTCTTCCCACCTGTGGGCCACAGGAAGCAAGCCAGGCCAGGCTGTGACCAGCCTGCTGATTCAGGCAGTGTGTTTGCGTTTCTATGGATCTCCAGTCCAGTGCCACAAATTTCTGCTCTAATGTAGGAGTAATGCCCTTCATTTCCTCTTTAACTCAGTGGTTCTCGGTGGAATTTTAGTGTTTAAAACAGGAGATTTGAGGGCTTGCAGCTGCAGGGTTTTTGATGTTGTTTTGTTTGGTTTTTGGGTTTTTTTTTTTGCTACCCTGTGGTAATAAGGATAATACGTATATAAAGGAAGATGTTGTGTATTAATTAGACTGGAATTGTAGAATCCCAGAATTTAAAAGAACTTCTGGTTACTAAACTTCCCATCTTCACCTGCCCTTTGGTTTATCTTTTCTGATTATTTTCTAAGCAGATTGGGGCAGAACCCCCTTTCTGTGGGTCACTGATTTTCATCTGCTAATAACTGAGCACCTACTGTCTGCCAGGTACTGTTCTGAGCACTGATATGGTGTCTGTTCTTATGGAGCTAGTCTTCTGGAGGGACAGGGGTGAACATTAAACCAGTCAACGAAGTAATTACAGATGGGGTTGCCTATTAGACCTGGGCGACTCGGAGAGAGGGCTGTAGCAGGCCATGATCTGCCCAGTTGTGCCTTTTCCTGCAGATCAGAACACACACAGACCTAGTTGTGGTGTTTCATCCTATTTTATTGAGCTCATGCTTCTCAGAGCTCCTCACCTCATGGAACAATAGTAGTAGTTTGTACTACTTCATGTGAGACATTAAAATTTACTGCCATTCGTATGTAAGAATAATTACAGCTGCCTTTTATTGAGTACTTGGTATATGCTGTACTTAGTGTCTTGTGTGTATTAATTCAGTAAATCCTCACAACAGCACATGGAAAACAGAAACCTGGGAGAGGCTAAATGACTTTCTCACAATCAACAGAGCTAGAGTAGAAAAGCCAGGTTTTGAACCCAGGTAGTCTGGCTCCAGTATTCAGGGCACTTTGCTGTGCTCTCTTCTCTCTTTTGAGGATGTCTCCCCAGATCCACAATGTGAACTTTGAGAGGATTTCCTAATAAAAATACTTGTGAAAGGCCTCAGAGAATCCAAGCCCAGTGACAGATTTTTGTAGGGTGAGTGGGAATTGCATCCTGAGTGTGAGCTGGGTGTCTTTTGTTTTTATGTTTTCTCAAACAGGTCCTAATTTTTACTAGCAGGAAGAAAAAACTCCCAGCCTAACGATTCACTGGGCTCTGGTTAAGCAAGATTTTCTGTCTATGATCATGTTAAGGCAGTTATGATTCAGTAAAACAGGAATACCCTGCTCTCTAACTAGTGCTAACCCCAGCCTCTTCCTAGCCTAAGGGTTTCTTAAGC